CACCTCTCATCATCTGGTCACTTCACTTATGAGCCTTCCTGCTCCATCTCACACATGAGCTCCTGCCTAAACCACAAGGCCCTCGGTGCCTCTGCGTCCCAGGAAGGGACTCTGGAAAGCCAAACCCAAGAATGTTGGCTCAAAAATGGAGCCCAGGAAGCCAGCCCTGAGTCCAGCCCCGGTCCCAGCCCTCCACCCACCAAGAAGTCGCCTTGCTTTTGAGTGAGCCACCTTGTCCCCTCCCTCCTGCTTTTACTCTGAACCTTGTGAGACTGTGTTAAGCATGGTATTGGCCCAAGACTGACCAGAAATCAAAAGCCTCCTTCTAACCCGCCTCTCTCCTAAGTGTCACTTGTCCTCGAGCCTAGCCACACCTACACAGCCTTTCCTGACCACTCTGCCTCCTTTGGTCTGTGGTACCCTGCCTTCGCCTTTGCTGTGCTCCTGCACGCCAAGCATTCCTTGAAGGCCTAGTGTAGGCAAGGCGTCTGGTGTGAACAAGGTGAAGCAGGCCTCCTCCTCAAGGCCAGGGCTGGTGGGTGGCTAGAGCCAAACCACTGTGTCCCACCCAGAACGCCCCAGGTGCAGGTGACACAGTGGACGATGGAGTCCATACTACTGTGGAGTGGGAGGACACCAGGCTGGCCACATGAGAGAGCGGCCTGAGCCGAGTCCTGGGGGGCACAATGCGCAGCAGAGAAGGCTCTGGGTGGAGGGAGAGCACCTTGAATGGCCTGATGGGACAGGAGCAGGTCCCTCTGAGGAGTGCAGGGAGGCACAGCCTGTGAGCCCAGATGCTCCGGAGACTGAGGCAGGAGGATCGCAGGTTTGAGGCCAGCCTGGGAAACTTAGAGAGACCTGTGTCAAGAAAACATTTTTGTCTTTGCAATGCTAATATAAGGGAGATCTTGGCGGATGTGAAATAATGTTACTCATTTTAAAGCTCATGAGCTATCGTGATTCTGTATTTCATAACAGTTCTCCAAAGCATCTTGAATATATGCAATGATTTTAAAAAGTTGTGAGCTTTTTTATTCATAATAATAAAACTGTATATGAATAGTAAAAATAATCCCTGGGGAAAGCCATTGGTACAGTGGAAAGTACTGGATGATACTGATTCTGGCAAAAACACAAAAATATATTATTCTATCTCCATGTAGTGAAAAATATACTTGTACAATATTTTGTACTTGTATTTCATATTATTAAAACAGTGAGTGAGGCCCTGGGTTCAATCCCCATTACTGGAAATAAATAGATAAAAGCTTAGAAGAAGAGAAATGGAGCAGTGCTGAATCTGGGGGAGGAGAAGAGGAGAGCAGAGCGGTGGGGCCCGCACCCAGGGCCTCCCAGGCCGCACCCAGGCTCACCAGATGCGCTCCTGCAGACCCAGAGCTCTGGGGGCCGACCCAGGGGCAAGTGTGAGGTTTTCATGAGAAGGGACCACAGCAGAAGCCACATCGGCCAGTTGGGAGACCACTGCCAAGACCCAGGTCCTGGGTGGAGGAAACCAGAAGTGAGTTTGAATCCATAGCATCAGGGACTGGTGAAGAGCAAGGCCCTGGCACCTTTAGGGCTTCAAGTGACTGCTCCTGCTGTAAACAAGGTGACTTCGGTGTCTCCATGGCCCCCAATCAGCAGGAGGAGACAGGGCGCTTCACCACTAGCTCCGGTCGCCCCTGTAGCCCCTCCCGGGAGTCGTGATGCTTTTCCAGGGCTCCTCTGCCCAGCTGTGCATCTGGATGTGTTTCAATCCAGGTGAACTAAAATAGTTTCATTTCCACATTTTAAAAGCAAATACCTCGAAAATAACAAAAGGCGCGCCTCCTGGTTATTAGCTACTTTCTCTCTCTGCGTATTTTAAGAAACAAGGGGCTCTGTGGCAGAGCCCGGTCATTCCCATTTCTTCTCGCCACCCCTTTGGGTACCACAGGGAGCACTGCAGGAGCTCACCTGGCCGGGATGGCAGGCCCCAGCAAGCCCTCTGCACACCTGGCCCACTCAAAGCAAGCATCTCCAACCCGTGCAAGCACCTGCTCTCTGTCTGCTGTGAGCGGATGTTGCTGTGGTTACATCTGGAATCCACCCCCCTCTGTGAAAAATATCATTGGGGTCAGAAGCCTCCTTGGTGGGGTTGAGTGCTGCCTTGGCACCCCCCAGCCCACGGTGCTCTGCACTAAGGGGCTGCCACCCCCACGGCTGCCACTTCTCCGCTCAGGGCTGGAGGGCCCCAAGTCAGCTACAGATGACTTCCGGGACACCAAGATTCAATGACTGTTTGGAGCTGTGCACCCAAAAATCCAACCAGCACCCGGTAGGAAGGTGGTTCCCAAGATCCAAACATCTGGAGGTTGACTGGAGTCTCCCCTAGTTGGGAAAGGCTCTCCCTATCCAAGCACCCTTTTTCCACCTTTATGACTGCATCCTGTAGCCAGGAGGGCCAAATGACACTCCTGCAATGACAGCATTGACCAGGCACAGGGGGACATTCCAGCTAAAGCAAAGCTTGCCCTTTTAATTGGGGCCTGTCCTCTCATCCATGTGCACCACAGGGACAGCACTGTGTCTGCACAGCCAGGGAGACACACACACACACACACACACACATACACACACACACACACACACACACCCCTGCACAAGTCCTTGCAAAGGTTTTGCTTCCCTTTGAAAATGCTGCATCTCCTGGTGTAAGTCCTTGATGACATGGGTATACTACATCTACCCCAGCCTTGCCAGAATAGTGACTTCAAACCACTTAACTGCCCATTAAAAGGAGAACCAAACCTGGGCACTGTGGCACACGCTTGTAATCCCAGTGGCTTAGAAGCCTGAGGCAACAGGATCAAAAGTTCAAAGCCAGCCTCAGCAAAAGTGAGGCTCTAAGCACCTCAGTGAGACCCTGTCTCTAAATAAAATACAAAATAGGGCTGGGGATGTGGCTCAGCGGTCGAGGGCCTCTGGGTTCAATCAGGTACCCCACCCTACCCCCCTCTAAAAAAGGAGAACCAAATTAGAAACACCTACATAAAATGCACCCACTTAAAAGAAAGGGCTGGCCAGGTGCAGTGGTGCAGGTCTGTCAACCCATCAACTTGAGAGGCTGAAGCAGAAGGATCAGAAGTTCAAGTTCAGCTTGGATAATTTAGCAAGACCCTGTCTTAAAATTAAAAAAAGAAAGGATGGAGGATGTAACTCAGTGGTGGAGCACGCCTGGGTTCAATCCCCATTACCAAAAAATAAGAAATCAAGAATGGGGTAGACCCATAACTGCTGGCACAAAAAGCTTTCCTTCTAGTGTAATAAGAAAAGGAAGTTGCTGGGCTGGGCCTGTAGCTCAGCAGTAGAGCATTGCCTTGCTGTGGAAGGCACTGGGTTGAATCCTCAGCACATCATGAAAATAAATAAAGGTACTCTGTCCATCTACAAAACACACACACACACACACACACACACACACACACACACACATATATAAAAGAAAAGTAAGTTGCAAATTTAACATGCGATATAAACATCTGTCTGTGCACAGATAACATCTAAAGGATACACTCAAATGTAACAGTGGTTTTCTCTGGAGACTTTGTAGTCACTTTTGTGTTGTCTGAAGTTTTTTTTTTTATATTTATTTTTTAGTTATAGTTGGACACAATACCTTTATTTCACTTATTTATTTTTTTTATGTGGTGGTGAGGATTCAACCCAGGGTCTTGCATGTGCGAGGTGAGTGCTCTACTGCTGAGCCACAAAGTTTCTTAAGAATATATTACTCTTGGGCTGG